AAGGCATTGGTAACAAAGTTTCAAGGACTGGCAAAATACCAGTTGAAATGTTTCAATAAGTGAATACAAAGCTTGCAAGCACCCACTCATCTATGTCAAGGAATTTGAGAGATGGTGGCCTGGCCGACCAACTGGAATAGATTTCCTTTTGTGCCCATTTCAAAGAAAGGTAATTTGACAAAATGCAGAAATTATCAAACAGCATTATTAACATCATGCACAAGTGTGTTGCCGCACATCCACAAAAGACTGCCAGAAATTCAAGCCGGATTCAGAAGAGGACATGGCTTGAGGAACATCATTGCTGATGTCAGATGGATCTTGGTTGAAAGCAGAGACTACTAGAAAGTTTTGTTGACCTGCCTTTTATTGATTATACAAAAACACGTGTCTGTGTGGATCATAACAAATTACGGGTAAGATTTTGAAGGAAGAGAATTGCAGAACACTGAATTATACTCAAGTGGAACCTACACACAGACCAAGATGCATTCCTTTGATCAGAAAAAAGAGGATACTCCCTGGTTTAAAATCAGGAAAGATGTGTGTCGGGGTTGTATCCCTTTCTAATTCTTAATCAATCTCTATGCTGAACAAATTATCCAGGAAATTGAACTGTATGAAAAAGAATGCTGCATCAGGATTAGCGGGAGCTTCTTCATTAGTTACCTGTGATATGCAGAGGGCACAACCCTGCTTGCTGAAAGTGAAGAGGAATTGAAACACTTACTGATGAAGATCCAAGACTCCATGCAATTTTTATTGTCGCAAACTTCAACATAAAACAAAACGAAATAAAATATCCTCACAACTGGACCAATAAGCAGCATCATGCTAACGGGAGAAGAGATGGAAAGGTCAGTCAAGGACTCCGTTTACCCGAGTCCATAGTCAATGCCATGAGAGCACCAGTTAAATCAAACGATAGAGTTCATTGGGCACATCGCCCGAAAAAGACCTCTTTAAGTGTCAAAAAGCAAAGACGTCACTTTGAGGACCAAGATACTCCTCATCATAGACTCATCAAGCCATGGTATTTTTAATTGTCTCATATGCACATGAAATGTGGACAGTGAATAAGGAGGACTGAAGAAAAGCTGATGTCTTTGAATTATGGCATTGCCAAAGACTATTGAACATGCCATGTACTGCTAGAAGAACAAATAAATCTGATTTGGAAGAAGTACAGTCAGAAGGCTCCTGGGAAGGAAGGTGGTGAGACTTTATCACGTGTGCTTTGGACGTGAGATCAGGAGAGACCAAACCCTTGAGAAGAGGACCAGTTGAAAAGAGGAAGGCCCTCAATGAGATGGAGTCACACAGTGGCTGTAACACTAGGTTCAACTATAGCAACAATTGTCAGGATGCTCACAACTAATCAGGGTTTCTGCTGAGTATGGGGTCATTGTAATTTGGAGCCTACTCAACTGCACATAACAAAAGCAGATGAAATTTAGGGGCATAAACCCTGTGTTAAAGTTGTGGTGTTTGCCCTCAAATCCAGTATTGTTATCCTTGTCATTGAGGAAACAATTTTGTGAACTCAACCCTTTTGTTTCTGTGATCTCTGATTACTCCACTCCATCCTTCCCTGTCTTTCATACCCTTTCCTCTCCACACTCCCTCCCTTAATCAAGAATCTTACTCAGTCATACTTACATGTTAATACTAGGCAACGATCATATATTATCTTTCCCAGAAGTATTTGCTCTTAACTGGGTCAGACTTTAAGAGCGAACGATGCCTCTCAAAGAACTTGCAGAGCTCAGTGACTTTACATGTCCGTTTGCCCTTAAAGTCAGGGTGTGCATGTAGAACAGACTGGAAGGAGGTGCAGAGGGGTGCTGTGGCAGAACAGTCGGAAGCTCTGAATATGTAGTGCAATGCCCGCCACTTGGTCTTTTCAGTTGCTAATGGATGGATTTAAGCTTATGGCAATGCAGTGCTTGTCAAAGTAATACTGTGTTACACATGCTTGTTAATGGCTGATTTTTCAGAGGTAGATTGCTAGAGTTTTATTTTATTTTTTTTAAATAATTTTATCAGGGGCTCTTCAGTTCTTAGAACAATTGTGGTCGTTACATAATCTGGTGTGAACTTGAGACTATTAAGACTGAAGGGTTGGGGTTTAGCCTATCAAATCAGGTCACAGCTTGATGACCTCATTTGGAAGTGATACAGAGATAATAGCTTACTGGAAGTGCGACACACACTCTCTGCAAGACATTCCTGCTGACAACACACATGGCGCTACGCTGATGGCAGCCAAAGCTTTGGAGTTGGAGGAGCCACATTGAGACCCATGCCCGTGCTAACTTGCTTCCTCCCACCACCTCTGGATCCACAAGACCTTCCACTGACTGGCCTGTAATCTTCCTGCATTTGGCCTCATTGCATGTGCTTCATGAGTCTGAAGAGGAATTTATAAACTGGTATGGGCTAATATCAGACTTAAGGACTTGATGTGGACTGGGCTGGGATGCTTTCTTAATATACAATTGCTCTTTGATAAAAAGTTCGCTTTCTCTCTCATACGTATATGATTGTCTCTGGATTTGTTTCTCAAGCCCACCCAGACTAACACAGCAATTCATACATCAATTTTATCAAGCATATTTGTACATATGTTGCCATCATTATTTTCTTTCTTTTTTTAAAAATTATTTTATTGGGGGCTCATACAATTCTTATGACAGTCTATACATACATCCATTGTGTCAAGCACATATGCACATTTGTTGCCATCATCATTCTCAAAACATTTGCCTTCTACTTTAGGCCTTAATATCAGTTGCTCATTTTCCCCCTCCCTCTCCCCCCACCCCCTGCTCAAGAACCCTTCATAATTCATAAATTATTATAGTTTTGTCATAAGTTACACTGTCCAACGTCTCCCTCCGCCCTCTTCTCTGCTGTCCATCCCCCAGGGAGGAGACAATACTTAGATTCTTGTAATTGGTTGCCCCTTTCTACCCCACATTCCCTTCACCCTCCAGGCATCGTCCCTCTCACCACTGGTCCTGAAGGAGTCATCTGTCCTGGATTCCCTGTGTTGCCATCATTATTTTCTAAACATTTACTTTCTATCTGAGCCCTTGGTTTCAGCTCCTCTTTTTCCCCCTCCCTACCCTCCCACCCTCGTGAACCCTTGATGAATTATTATTTTCATCCTCAAACTATGGCCCGTGGGCTACATGTGGCCTGCCAAGGATATTTATCCAGGCCACTGGGTGTTTTTATCCCATTTTGTTTTTTACTTCAAAATAAGATATGTGCAGTGTGCATAGGAATTTATTCATAGTTTCTTTTAAAACTATAGTCTGGCCCTCCAACGGGTCTGAGGGACAGTGAACTGGCCCTCTGTTTAAAAAGTTTGAGGACCCCTGCCTTACACCATTCACTGTCTCCCTTCACCCACGTTTTTATTGTTCATACTCGTGGTGGGGGTGTTATATGTCAATTACTGCAATTGGTTCCTACTTTATCCCCCTTCTCCCTACCTTCCCCCTACCCTCATAGTATCGCTACTCCCATTACTATTCCTGAGGGGTTTATCTGTCCTGGATTCTATGTGTCGAGAGCACTTATCTGTACCAGTGTGCATGCTGTAGTCTAGCCAGATTTGTAAGGTAGAACTGGGGGCCAGACCTTTATTCTGAGATGTTTCTGGGCAGACTTGAATTTTCAACCTTTTGGTTAGCAGCTGCATGTGTTAGCTATTTGCGCCACACAAGGAAGGACTGGGCCCTTGAGAGGCACTCATTTTGGTAACTGAATGAATACAACTCTTTAGTGAATGAATGCATTGATGATGAAGTCCCTGAGAAATGGATGGAGAGAATGGAAAGGACAGATGGAAAGATTTAAACCTTTTAAATAAGGAAAGAATATAACTGTGTACCTTTGAGACAGTGGGCTTAAAATATATATGTGTGCGTGTATGTGTGTGTGTATACACACAAACACACACACAATCCAGCTGCTTGCCAGTTCACCAACAGACCAGGACAGCAGGTGAATCCTGGGTTTCATCACAGGGATACATACTTATCATTTTGAAGTAAGTATTTGATAGCCTTTCTTCAGCTCACCGGTTTATAAGTTGTGGGCTGTCCTATATGCTGTAGCTGCTACTTGGTGCCATTGGTTCAGCTTTTCCTCCCAGTTCTGCACGCCCAAGAAAAGGGGAGGAAACCTGGGATGACTTCTGAAGAACTGCTCGTATTACATTTTATTTCAAAGTAAGAGAAGCATGTGTAACCTGCCCTTCAAGGAAAAAAAGAATTGCTGTTGAGTCATTTCCGACTCACAGAGACCCCTCGTGACAGTAGAACTTGACTCCATAGCTTCCAGTGACTGATGTTTCAGGGGCAGATCAGTAGGCTGTCCTGTGGTGGAGCCTCTGGACAGACTGAACGCTCCAACCATTGAGTCAGTTGGAATTCAATCCAACCAAACACAGGTGCATATAGGCCTTTGTTTTGTACAGGTATGCCTGCAGCGACTTTCACTTTCCCCCACCCACGTGCACTGAACGTGCTGCCCTGGGCTATGCTGAGATGTGTGCTTGCCTCAGAGGCATTCCTTCTTTAACTGCCAGATTTGCTGGGATCTCTATGGACACTCCCCTCTGCTGACCAGTAGCCTGTATTTATGAGGCATTTGGAAAACACCACAAGCTGCCCAGAGTGACCGTGAATAGCAAATGTAATGTGGTTTAATGTGTTTTGGTTTGCTTGACCTCACCGGAATAAAAAATTGTATTGGGAGTTAAAAAAAAAAAAAATTCCAGAGGCATTTATCCCTTTGTAAATATCCTGGGATCATTTTAGTAAAATATAAGCCTATGCCTAATGTCAGATAGACTTGACAAATGCTTACCATGGAGTTTTGATCAAAGATTAGGCTATTATGAGTTCTGAATGATAAGAGCCTGAATTGCTTTTTTTTTTTCTTTTTCTCCTGCTGCCTCCCCCCCCCCCCCCCCCCCCCCCCCCCAGACGATTGGCTGGCAACGACCTCTCTTTCATCCACCCCAAAGCGCTGTCTGGGTTGAAAGAACTCAAAGTTCTGTAAGTAATGCAATTTTAGAGTTTCACAGCTGGCTGTGTATTTTCTTTCTGCATAGTCAACATGCCTGGAGCTAGGTTAAGCACAGTTTCTTTTCCGTCAGGATTAAAAGATTTAAGGAGTGGCCAGTGGGAAGTGTGGGAGGCTAGAGTTGATTTCTGCAACCTTGTGTCTAGATAACAAACATTAAAACCCTAAACAGCAGGCATTCTGACCTCCAGTGCAGCACAGTTGAAAGTTATGCTTTTTGAATATCTAATGCATCTAATTGAGACCATATTTAAGCTTAACTGGCAGGGTTTTGTTTCTACTTATTTTACGGCTATTCAAAACAAAACAAAACCCACCTCACTGCCATCAAGTTGGTTCCTACTCATAGCAACCCTGTAGGACAGGCTAGAACTGCCCCTCTGAGTTTGCAAAACTTTAACTCTTTACAGATGTAGAAAATCTTATCTTTCTCCCGTGGAGTGGCTAGTGGTTTGATGGAATGCTGACCTGGTTGTCAACAGCTCAATACATAACCCATTACACCACCAGGATCGATGTAAGAATGTATAAATAGCTGATCCTAAAGGGGAAAGGTATACCAACACTCAACTAAACTCGCTGCCATCAACTCTGCTCGGAGCAATAGTCACCCCCGAAGACAGAGTAGAACGAACCACCCCTGTGGGTTTTTGTAGATAAATCTCCACGGGAATAGAAAGCCTCATCTTCATCCCAAGGAGTGACTAGTGGTTTTGAACTGCTGGCCTTGCAGTTAGCAGCCCAACTTGTAGCCCACTCTACCACCAGGGACACAAAATACGAAAGCCATTTTAGAACTAAGGGGATCGAGGTGCCTATGATTTATATAGCCCATGAGAGATCAGGAAATAAATTGTTGGCTGTAGTCAGGAGCTTAAGAGTATGGTGGGTTAGAATTGGCAATCTGGCTACCAGTCCCACTTCTGCCATTACTCTGTTGAGTGACCTTTGGTAAGTCTGTAGAACTCTAGGTTCTCTGATGACAACTCATGTGAAGCAGTCATTTTATTCAAGTGTCTGGTAATAACTTCAGGCAGAAATGAAAAGAACTTCTTTGTTACTGTTCTTCAGAGTCTAACTTGATGATTAAAGCCTTGTTTGTCTCCTGACCCCACAGGCACTGAGGAATAGTAAACTTGGCTTTTCCTCTTACCCATGTTTCTGGACTCTGCTCCATTTCATTTGAAAAAGGCATTAAAGATTCCAATGAGTTTGTTTGTTATACCTCCCAGTTAACTCATTACACCTCCCAATTAACGTTAATTAACAAACGAGGCACCTCTGATGCATTTACTGATCTTTGCCCAGAACTTTGGAAGACAGCTGCCTGGCCAATCAACTGAAAGAGATCCATATTTTTATCTTTTACAAAGAAAGGTGTTTCACACAGGGCAGAAATTACCAAGCAACAACCTTGATAGCACATGCAAGTAAAGTTCTGTGAAGATCACTTTAAAATGGTTGCAGCAGTACATCAGCAGAGCACTACTAGGAATTCAAGCTAGATTCAGAAGAGGTCATGAAATGAGGAATATCATTGCGGATAGCAGATGGATCTTGGCTGAAAGCTGAAAATACCAGAAGTATGTCTTATTATCTCTGCAAAGGCATTTGACTGTGTGATCATAACCTTATGAATAAGATTGTGAAGAATGAGGATTCCAGGAATTGCACCTCATACATAGGACAAAAGGTACTAGGTAAGGATTGTGGTACGACATGGTTTACAATCAGGAAAGGTTTTGCATCAAAGTTGTATTCGGTTAAATCAAAAGTATTACTACTGGGGTTCTAATTCATAAATACATGCTTTATTTCAAACAAAACATGTTTAACTGTGTCTCTGCAATCAGTGGATGAAAGCAAATAAGTTCTTTTAGCAATATGCTGATTTTAGTTTCGTTAGAGTACCTTCAGAAGGAAAAAAAGTTTTGTGTCGTGGAAAAAATGATTTTGAGGTCAGGCTAATAAACTTTTAACAAAAATCAAGTGGTTATCTTCTCAAATCACTGATGCGCTGCACCAAATTTACAGATTGCTGTACTACATAAAACACCAGCTCTTAGATGGATCAAGCCTCTTCAGGAAGATAAACCCTCAAAAATGAGCCACGAGAAGGAAGCTCATCCACTTGGATGAATGAAGACACTGTGACTGAAGTCCAAAAACTGGTAGAAGAAACCTTAGAATCATAGTTCCCACTGAAGTGGGAATCCCACGTGATTTGCCATCTTCGATGTTATGTGAACATCTTAACCTCAGCCAGCTCTCAGCTATGCGGGCGCACAGAACACCGCACAGAGATCAGCTCGCTCAAAGAAGGGATTTGCCATCAGTCTTTCAAACAGGATCAAAGCCAATGAAGACAATTTTATTGTAACAAGGGAAGGATCTTTGATAGCAAATGCAGAGACCAAGCTCTAATCGGAACGGTGGCTTCTCTGAGGGGATCTTTTGGGCTAGTGAAACAGAAGTCAGAGAGATCGACTCAGAAGATTGTGACAACTGGTTTTGGGATCCAGAGGAACAATATGTTTTCTCAAAGGACATAGGACGATCATCGCAGTTGGTGATGAAGACATTTTAAGTAAATTGAAAACTTCACTGGTGAGAAAACGGTCAAAGCAACCATGCCGAGGAATTTCCCCTCATTACAATAATAGACCTCACTCTTCAAAAGTAGCAAGAGCTGTCTTATGAGATTTTTTTTTTTTGAGAAAGTGTATCCCATCTACCCTACAGCCTTGCTCTTGCGCCTATAAACTTCTTTTTGTTGCTCAAACTCACAAGAGCTTTTTGAGTCCCTCAGAGAGGCTAAAACTGCTGTTTTGACACGGTGTCTATCACAGAGCTTAGAATCCTTCCTGGACCATTAGAGTGATAGAAACAATACCTTCAACACTGAGTAGACCATGATGAAGGATATGTAGAGAAACAGTAGCTTCACATTTTGATATATATTGTTTTTGTTTAGTAAAGGTTTCTGTGGTTTTGTTTTACACCGGGCACATCTGCTGCACCAAACCTTTTTAAAGTGTTAATGAACAAAGTGTCACTTTGAGGATTAAGGAACACCTGATCAAGCCAGAGTATATTCATTCACCTCATAAACCTGTGAAAACTGAGTAATGAATAAGGAAGACCTGAAATAGAATTGAGGCATTTGCGTTAATGTGTTGGTGAGGAATATTGAATATACCATAGACTGCCAGAAGAACAAGCAAATCTGTCTCGGAAAAGTACAGCCAGAAGAGAGGATAAGGAGACTTCATCTCCAGCCTTTTGGACATTAACACAGGAGGGGCCAATCCCTGCATAAGGCCATCATGCTAGGTAACATAGAGGACCATCAAAAAGGAGGAAGACCCTCAGTCAGATTATTGACACCATGCCTTCAACAGCAGGCTCAAATATAGCAATGAATGTGAATTCCATTCTGTTTTACTTGAGATCACTATGAATCAGATCCCATGGTACCTAATCACTACAAAGGAGCCCTAGGGATGCAGTGGTTAAGTGCTCAGCTTCTAACCAGAAGGTCATGGAAATCAGTTAGCCACACTGAGGGGGAAAGATGGATGTAGAAGTCTGTTCTGTAAAGACTACAGTCTTGGAAAACATGGGACAGGTGTACTCTGCCCTACAGGTTGGTGAGCATTCTGAATAGGCTCAACACAATGGGCATAACTGTAGATTAGTGAATGTTAACTAGGGTGCCACAGTTCCTGAAAGTTAACCATTAGAAATATGGGCTCAAGCACCATTGGAAATGTGGTTATCCACATTAGGATATGGTTTGGTATAGCTGATTTCATTTCTGACTTTTTAACAAATACTTCTTACTTTTTTCAATTCTCTTGCCTCTAGTACTTTCTATCTCTTTCCCTCCTTTTTGGTTATTGAGGGTTTTGGAAGTTTGGGGTCTACAAAACTAAAGAAATGGTACTAAATTTTCCTGAAAATGGGTAAGAATTACTTATTATTCACTAACCAAAATTTCCTTCCAGAACCCTCCAGAACAATCAGTTGAAAACTGTGCCCAGTGAAGCCATTCGAGGACTGAGCGCCTTGCAGTCTTTGTAAGTAACTTTTCAGGTTTCCATATTCCTTCCCAACCCCCTTGTTTTTAGGTATCCTCGACATATAATAAACTTCATATTTAAAGTGTACAATTTGGTAAGTTTTATCATGTATGCAAGGGAGCTTCAAAAAACTTGTGGAGAAAGTGGAATTAAAGTTAATGAAATGTTTCCATGGACTTTTTGTGTGTCACTCTTTGATTAACCAGCTTGACTAACGTTCCTAACTGAGGGAAGCCACCGCCACTCCCAGCAGGTGGCCAGTGAGTTGAAGTCAGAGTTGACTTGTGCCTCGTAGGGTTTTCAGTGGCTGATTTTCCAGAAGTTAACTGCAACACCTTTCTTCAAAGCACCTCTGGCTGGACTGGAACTTCCAACCTTTTGGTTAGCAGTTGGACGCCAAGTAAGGAAGAGAACTTCCTAAGCCAAACCCACAGCCATCTAGTTGATTGTAGCGCCTAGCAACCCTGTAGGACAGAGTGGAATGCCTCATCTTTCTCCCATGAAATGGCTGATGGATTTGAACCACTGTCCTGGCAGTTAGCAGCTTAATGCTTAACCCATTGTGCCACCAAGACTCCTTCAAAATGAGAACATTTTATATGTGGAAGTCTGATTACTTGCAAAACAATCACTAAAATGTGGTTTCCTAGGGCTTATCCTACGAAGACTGCTATTTTCTATTTAGAGGCAGGGTCTAGGTTTAATAAATTCCCATACACACTGAAATTTTGAGAACAATCCTGAAAACAGTTGTCAAGGTTATCACACTTAAGTAAGTGTGATGCAATATAAAATTAACATTTTAACCACATCACATATTTATATATTAATGTCACAATTTTTACTACCTTATGTAATAACAGCAAATGTAGGTTTGTAGGAAGTGTATATGAATTAAAGTGAAAATAAGGGAATTATTTGATCTATTTGTTAATGATTTAAACTTTTAAGCAAAAGTATATCACTGGATATTATAAATTATAACTTACCTTTTGGTTTTAGATAGGGTGATGAAAACAATATAGAAATTAAAATGTGTATTGATAAAGCATATATCACAAGGTTTAAAACCTAAACTTAAAAAATATATATTTGCCATAAATAAGGAGTTTCTGGGTGTTAACCACTTGATTTCTAGTTTAAATTGAAGTTTAAAGTAGAAGTATATTAACTAATTTCGCCAAATGCCAAGTTAGGAAATATAAAGATCTGTTGTTTGCTATCGATGGTGTAGTGATTAAAGCACTTGGATGCCAACGATAAGGTCAGTAGTTTAAACCTATCAGCCACTCCAGGGGGAAATGATATGGCCGACTGCTTCTATAAAGATTTCTTTAAAAAAAAAAAGATTTCTTACAGCCTTGGAAACCCAATTGGACATTTTGTATTCTGTCCTATAGACTTGTTATAACTTGAAATCTATTGGACTGGCAGTGGACTTGTTGGCTTGGGGGTTTGCTTATTATCCATCGATATTAGGTAGGCTCTTGGATATATGCTTTTAATGATTTGTTCAGAATTTTTTTTTTACAGAAATACGATTTTACTGACTCTTTTTTTCTACCTAGAAGAAAACATCTTACAACTCGTGGACCTAAACTCATTAGATAGTTCATTCAGGACAGTCATACAGAGTTGTTGGTTTTATTTCCAAAGACTGATCATAAGTAGTCATGCATTTTGTCTAGTACCATGAGGCTGCACATAGAAAAGATGGAAATCTCATTGCATTTAACCACATTGAATTTTACATAAAAGAAATTGCCAAGGTAACATGCAAATGTTTTTTCCCTAACTGTGATCATTAAATTGCAGTTATATTTGTTGGTAACAGATCATTTAAGATGGCATATTTCACAGAAATCATAGGTTTCCCCTTCCTCCAAAGCAATGCTTTTAAAAAAGAGCACATACTTAGTCCACATTTATCAACTTTCTTATAATCTGACATGTTGTTTTGAAAGATTCTTAGGTGAACCCTCTGATGGTCCATGAAAGAGCCACAGCTAGGCCTTGGGCACTTTCCACAGTCCAGTTTGGATAATATTCTGGGGGCCCTGACCATTACTGGGCCACATGAGGGCCAGTGACTGACAGATTGTGGGACCCCTTCTCCTATTCTTCCACAGTATCTTAGTCTGGTCATGGTGAGTTTGGAGCAAGTGTATGGTGACTGTGGGATAACCTTGTAGAGTGGGCAGGAAGAGGCTACTTAAGGACCTGAGGGAATTGAGGGGGTCTGTGACGGAGAGTGGGAGTAAGGGAGAGAAAGCAAGAGCCTGCATCGGGCCATGAGCCTCATGCAGACTGCAGAGAAGAAGCAGGCAGAAGAGAAAACCTAGAGCTAGCCATGGGGAGCTAATCAATACCCAAGCCAAAACCCAGCCCCTGCAGACGTTGTCGTGGTGAAAAAGGAAAGGCTTCCCCCAATACTGCCCCACTTTGGGGGCCCGTGATAGGCTGTGAGATATGGCGGGGTAGGGGGTGGACATGGAATAATTCTTATTTTGAATATTGACCTGGTCTTTGGAAACGAGCCAGGTTGATAAGTGAGGAGTAGGTGTACTGGATTCATCATTCGTTGAGTGAGTTGCATAATTGAAGGTATCTCCAAAGGGGCAGGATGGGAAGAGAGAGGTTAGTTTTTTGTCTTTTTAAAAAAGGCATTGGGATGCGCTGTATGTATCAGAACTTCAGTGAGCTGTGAGCTCTGCCTGTTTTACTAAGTAGGAACTGCACATGGGTTTGCTAGCATAGTGGGTGCGGTGGTCAAGTTAGATACAATTGAAATTCTGTCCTGGTGTAAAACAGTCTTATCAGCACTTGAGTCAGTTTGAAAATCTGATCTTCAGACTTGAATTACAGGAAAGATTTCCTTGTGGTTTTGAAGTAGTGCTTAAAGGAGCAAAGTTCATTAGAGGCTGAAGTTGACCAGAAATGGCTTCATGCAGAGAGAGAGAGAGAGAAAAAGAGAGAGCGCGGGCGAGCCTATAAAACACAAAAGTGATGTTTTCATGTTAAGAAAAAGGTACATACACCATCCCACAAAACCATGAAAATGGGTAAAGCATTATCTGAACAAGTTATCAAAATATCATTAAACGCCACTAGTTTTTCTTTGCATTAGATTAATTTATATTGAATTGTAAAGCATATCAAAGATTAATTTTTTTAGGCTTTCCACAAGAGCAGAATTTCTTTACTATTTTTAGAGTAGTAACTGGTGAAAAAAAAGTTTATACGGATATTCTTATGTTATTTTTCAGTCAGTCATGAGAAAAAGGGAGGGCATTTGATTGCATAGAATAGGTGTTTGTTTTTTTTGCATTGAATAGGTTTTAAAGCATTTATTAGTTGATAATTGCATGGAGAAATATTTTATATCATATTTAGAACAAGAGATAAAAATACTTGAGTGTGACTAAGATGTCAAGTTGGATTCTTTATCATATATTTTTGATCCTCTGTTTATTTTCAACTTAGATTTTTTAATAACCATTTTTAAATTGTAAATTAGGTGGGGTTCAAATTGGATTTTGAGAAGAGAAAATAGAAGCAAGTTTTAAAGACAAAAATTGTAAGGGAATTCAGTTACTACATGGTGAAACTTTGAACCATGCCAGTGCAATTACCGGGGGTGTGCTTGCGATGTGCAATATAAATGGGAGCGTACCTTCAGAAGCCCACGTAATCTCCCTCCTTTCGTGCAATATCTGATGCCAGTTAGCATTTACAAAAAGAATAAATTATTTTATTTTCTTGAACTATTAGGGTAGATATTAATACAGTAATAAATCAATACAAAAAATGCCACAGTCCTTGTTCCCATTCTTTATTAGTCACTGTAACACTTTGGTATTTAATTTGTACATTTTACCCACAACTGATGGATAGGTTTCTCTTTGTCACCAAATCATTTTGTGTGTTGCCTGCCATGACTGGATTAATTGAGCACGGACTCACACTGCTGGAGGGAGAAATGATTTGGCAGTCCACCCAGCCTTCCAGACCCATTTCCCGCATGGCTGGGTGATTACCCTGGACCCTGATGTTTCTCCTTAGTCACAGATTCCTCCAACTTCCTTTCAGCTCACTCCCTAACGTTCCCTCCTAGCCTCCAAAGAACATGATTAAAGAGCAGTAAATCTTTATCGGAGCAGGAAGCCTCATCTTTGTTCCCCGAGGAGCAGGTAGTGGGGTTCAAACTACTGACTGAGAGGCTGGCAGCCCAACGTGTAACCAACTAACTTTGCCACCAGGGCTCCTTGATGAAAGAAACTAGTGGGCATATTTTCTCCCTTTGGATGGTACCGTATATACTCGAGTATAAGCTGACCCGAATATCAGCCGAGGCACCTAATTTTACCACAAAACTGCATTTAAAATGTGCTGAAAAACTCGGCTTATACACGAGCATATACTGTGATCCTTTTCAACCTCCGGGAGTTATAGAAAGTGGGGCAAGTATTTTCTAGTCGCTCTGTTGAAGCCCTAGGGTTTTTTTTAAGAAAAGGTGGGGAAAAAACAACAAACCACCCTTTTTCTCTGTGAAACATTGATCTCAGTGTAAGTGCAAACTCTGCAGTTATGGGTGTGCCACCGAGCCTGGCATGCGAATTGAGGAATAAGGATTAACCATTTGAGTCACCGCAAATCCTTTTTCCAAATGAAATAACTTTTAAGAGTTCAGTGTCCCCCCCCACCCCCCGAAGTTCTTCCTTTTAATCTTGTTGTGTTTTGCACCACTTTAAAATTTTGGCAATTTCTTAGTACAGAAGAAATAGGTTTATTGTGGTATTGTTTTGCATAAAAGCTTGTTGGATTACTGTTTTAGCTCCATACTCACTTATCTTGCTGAAAATGAAGGCCATTCTTTTCTTTGATCATATAGCACATAAAGTTCTAGAGCAGGCATCCTCAAACTACGGCCTGCGGGCCACATGCAGCCCGCCGAGGACATTTATCCGGCCCACCCGGTGTTTTTGCCCTGTTTGTTTTTTCACTTCAAAATAAGATATGTGCAGTGTGCATAGGAATTTGTTCATAGTTTTTTTTTTAAACTATAGTCTGGCCCTCCAACAGGTCTGAGGGACAGGGAACTGGCCCCCTGTTTTAAAAGTTTGAGAACCCCTGTTTTAGAGTAATGTAAATGTTGTATATGGCACTAACTTACTGTCAAGTCAATTCCCACCTTTTATAGGGTTTCTAAGGCTGTAAACCTGTAGGAGAAGTAGCTGGTGGGCTTAAACCACCAATCTTGCAATTAGCAGTCCAATGCTTACCTGACAGTGTCACCATGGCTCCTTGTATATACTGCTGGATTTATGTTAATAAAGGTATTGAAATGTTCCTTGTAGCAGTTTACCACTTACTAGTGAAAAACTGTAGAGGAAAGATTTCATTTCAGTGGAGTATTTTGTGTATATTGGAAGGAACACTGCTGATGACTTTATTGAGTGTAAACACATGCTATCACCAGTTTATTAAAATAAGTGACTTGGGCTTTTGAAACCTGTAAAACTGGGAAAATTGAGAACATTTCCACCTGTATTTCTTATTACTCTAACCCTTGACCTTACCTCTGGAGGTCTGCATGATTTGATTCCTGATTGCATCTCTCTCTTCCCTCCTCCCCCCGCCCCCCTTGTGTTCATATCTCACTCTTTGGCTACCACCCAGAAGGTTGGAGGTTTGAGATCACCAAGTGTCTCCTCGGGAGACAGACCTGACAGTCGACTTCTGAAAAACGGCCATGAAAATTCTGTGGAACACATTTCAACTCTGACACACATGACTCGCTGGCAGCTGCTAGGATTTTGTGTGTGTGTGTGTGGGGGGTATAGGGTGTTCTAACCAGTCTGACCTGTTGGGAGTTGCTGGACCACGCCCATTTGTGCTCTATCTTTGCTGTTTTCCAAAAGAGCTCTGGTGGTATAGTAATTACTCATTGGGCTGTTAACCACAAGGTCAGTAGTTTGAAACCACCAGCCGCACCTCAGGAGAAAGTCAGCGCTTTCTACACCCACAGAGTTAGAATCCTGGAATCACAGGGGCAGTTCTACCTTGTGCTATAGGATGACTATTAGTTGGCATTGATTCAATGGGAGTGAATTGAGTGAGATGGTGTTTTAAGGAGGTTTTTGTTTTCTTTTTCTTTTTGGTTTTGTTTATTATGTTATAAGTAGCTGGGTTTTTTTTCCTTTCATATTTGCTTATAGTACTTCTTAGGCACTCACTCTGGAATCATTTTGTTATTACATTTTGTGTGGCCACCCTCACCCCTCCAAGAATATCAGCCTCATGCATGCAGGCAATATAGTGTGTTTGCCATTTTATTTTTTATGTGTGTGCCTAACAAGGTGTTTAATTAAAAATGTGTTGAATGATTTAAAGATTATTAAGTAAGTTAAAAGTTAACTAAGTTACATTTCAGTTTTAAGGTGTAGTTAATTGTATAATTTGCTTAATTGTGTGTTCTGTGTCTTTCATTGCCCAAGTCTAGGAGCTGTAAGAGACTGTGAATTGTATTTGTGCGTGTGTGTGTATTTTTATGTGCGTGATTGAACACGTTCTTACCTATTCAGTAAAGCAGTGGTTCTCAACCGTCCTAATGCCGCGACCCTTTAATACAGTTCCTCATGTTGTGATGATCCCCCCAACCATAAAATTATTTTCGTTGCTACTTCATAACAGTAATTTTGCTACTGTTATGAATCAGGCAACCCCTGCGAAAGGGTCATTCGACCCCCAGGTTGAGAACCGCTGCTCTGAAGCAAATCTGCTGAACAGCATTGTGACTGCTTTGACACCCTGTTATTGTGAGGATCCCTGTGCCTTCTCAAAGCCCAAAGAAAAGAACAATTCTAAAAACGTTTTTCAGGAAACTTTTTAAGGCTGTTTTAGAACTCTCCTTGTAGTGCTTTTTCAGATAACTGTATCAGAGAGAAGGCTTAGTCAGATACCCCCAAGAGTCCTGATGTCGATGGATTTTGCTTCTGGTTTTAATCTGCCTCCAGGAGTTTCTACTTGATGTAAATAGTTAATGTTCTCAGCTGCTAACCAAAAGGTTAGAGGGCTAAGTTCACCTAGAAAGTCCTTGAGAGACAAACCTGGCAATCTACTTCTGAAAAATCACTTCTTGAAAAGTCAGTAGAGCACAGTGCTACTGATCCACATGTGTTTGCTGTGTGTCAGGTAGAATTGACTCAGTCCCCCTTCTTTTTTCCCTAATCCTGCCTCAGGAAGGAGATTCTGTTTGGGTTTGATTGCAGTTAGCTAGGAGTTGGGGTTGAGCCCTGGTCTCCAAGGGAAAGGGAAGATTATATCTGGAGCAGAAGGCCAGGTAGCACCGGGAGACTGGAGGTAGTAAATATTTTAAATTACGAAAGTCATTATAGACCGTAGAATTCCCTGAACTTGAGAGCTTTCAAACTTTCTTTAAGACAAAAACAAAACACATGCTGTCATTGTGACTTTTCATCAGTTCTTTGTATTCCCTAATTTTTAGCCAGCCGTCCAAACCCGCTAGGTATGCATTTAAGTGGTAAAGAGACTTCCACAAGGGCTTTGTGAGAGAAGCTGTGATTAGCCTGGCATTCGCTTGTCCCTCATCATATTAATGCCAGATTGTCTCTATGTTGAAAAGCAATTATTCCAATGATTATCCTGGTCATGCGAACAATAACAATACATTTAATTTTCCATATTTTCAGATGATGCCTTAATTTTATGTATGAATTATGCCTATTAATAAGGTATCCTTAATTCCATCATTTGGGGGGTAAAAATTAACCTTTAAACCCATAACGGCATTGAACAGAACTAGCAGTTTAGTTTTTGCTGTACACATTTGACCTTTTCCTAAAAAACTGTTAATTTTAGCAAACTTAATTTTCAAAAGTACAAGTGTTAACAGGAGAAGATGGTTTTGCTATTACTGACAGTTTTAATTTTAACTTTTCTGATGGTCGGAAGAAGGAATAAGAATCAATTGAAATGATTTATTACATATATATATATAAATATTTACTGAAACCTTTTGTTACCAAATCAGAACTAATATGAGTATTAGTTCTAAAATTCATAGTAGTGTAGGTAGCTGCTAAATTTAATTTCGTTGGTCATTTAAAAAGTGCTTTGCGCAAGTATATTCTGAAACTTAAAATCCAAGCCTCACTGTTGTGAGTTCTTTTCCTTCAAAAATCCCCTTCCTTTATGAAGTTACTTAGGAGCCAAAGTTACTGGATTCAGATAAATCCCTTTGTTATGATTAGGAAGAGCTACTTTTTATACACTGCTCGAAGAAAAGTTACCAGATTTTATTACAACTAACAGTGAAACTAAAAAATAAGGGCTGGCTGGCATGGCCCTGGAAATTTTTATCATTCCTTTTTGTTTTGAGAGCATAGAAAATCATGGGCCTGGAATCGAGCCATTCCACTAGAATTTATTATTCGGCGTGGTTGTGTCTGTTGTCAGGCGCTTGGATGCCAACCACATTACCTCAGTCCCGGAGCACAGTTTTGAAGGGCTTATCCAGTTGCGGCACCTGTGGCTGGATGACAACAGCCTGACGGAGGTGCCTGTGCACCCCCTCAGCAATCTTCCAACTCTGCAGGCACTGACTCTGGCGCTCAACAAAATCTCAAGCATCCCCGATTTTGCTTTCACCAACCTTTCAAGTCTGGTAGTTCTGTGAGTATCCACCCCTTTTAATACCATATGAGTATATTTGTATTCGTTTGGGGGAGAAAAATAGGCTTATTGTGACAAATTATTAAACAGTCTCATTACTTATTCTTCTGCATCGTTACCATTCAGGAAAATTATTTCTGAAGATTAAATAAGTCTCTCTATATTTTTAAATAAGACTATTTTTAAAACAATAAAATAGGACCATTAAAAAATGATGTCTGATTACAACTTTTGAATCTCCCTAATATCAAAGACCATTTTTAATCATGAATGAAATTGGGTCAATCGCCAGATATTTCTACCTCTCTTTTTGTGTGACAGCAATGTATTTTATGCTTTAAAAAAGCTCAATTGTTTTGAATTGCACACAGAAACTATATTCTAGCGGTAGCTCATGTTTTTACTTTCTATTCAAAGAATATATGATTCATAACTTGAACTACTGAAATATCTTTCCTTTAGAAATCTTTAACGGATTCCTACCTGGGTATCAACTGGCATTGTTTCCTTCTTCCCTAGGAAAGCTGATGACACTTTTGCTGCATATAATTAAGAGCTGATCATAATTTTTGATATAGCTAATTAAAAAATACTCTGCAATGTGCTTAACATTTTCCCACTAGATAAATTTCCCCTTGTCTAAAAGTATTATGTGTTTAGTAGGTTTTAGTCTGTGTGATGTATATTGAGAGCTAACTGTTCAATGATACTTGTTTTTTATAGCTGTTGTTGAGATGTTTAAACCATTACTTTAAGACATCTCAATGTAGACATGTGTAACAATGATAATAGTTGCTATCGAGAAATGTAAAACTAATTTTGTGCTTTTCTCAGACATCTCCATAACAATAAAATTAAAAACCTGGGTCAACACTGTTTTGATGGACTAGATAACCTGGAGACCTTGTAAGTATATACAGATTCTGAGTAGTCAGATGTGTGACGTTGGCAGTGAAGATAATCTTGCTGAAAAGGGAAAAAGATATATTTGTTTTTGAATTCAACTCATTATTACTTTTTAAAATTTTATGACTAAATTCTTGTCATCAAAATAACCCAATTAGAAAGAATAATCAAAATTAATGCTTAAAAAGAGTGCATAGTTTGAATTCCATGCCTCTTTCAAAGATACGTTAAAAGCAGCTTGAGATTAAAATGTAATGTATAAGGGTTTTAGAATTTTAAAATGAACTCTCAAATTCCATCATCTTTCAATTCCATTTTTTCATGAACTTTTAGAAGTCCTCTCATAGTATTGCAATTTTTGGTTTTTTTCCCATGGTCTCAAATTGCCTTGCTAATTATTAATACTAAATTTGAATGCTACATTTGCTTTTATATGCTGAAATGCAACAAAGTAAGGTTTTCCTTTTGTGTTGCTGATTGTTGGTGTTTTAACTAAAATGTGTGGAATTTCTCGCTGTTTTAGTTGTACATTACACCACAATATGATTAGCAGACATTGTGCAGTTGTGTGTAATTGAGGGTAGGAGTTTTACTTTATCTATTTTACATTACTTGCCTTTATTTGAGCATCTGTAATATTGAATATTGTGTTATAGCAACGGTTCTCAGCCTGTGGGTCGCGACCCATTTGGGGCTCAAATGACCATTTCACAGGGGTCGCCTGATTCATAACAATTGCAAAATGAAGGTTATGAAGTAGCAACGAAAATAATTTTATGGTTGGGGAGGTCACCACAACATGAGGAACTGTATTCAAGGGCCGCAGCATTACGAAGGTTGAGAACCACTGTGTTATAGTAAATGATTCATCAAAATTAAGATGCTTAGTATTTTTGTATTTGTTTAACTGAGTTTCCTGGTTAACTGTCAGTTAACGAGCAGACTTAAATCCTTACAGGGAAAAAAACCCAAAGAAAGCCAATTGCTGATTAAATCTGTTCAGACTTAAGGAGACTATAGGATACAGTAGAACCTGCTCCATTGGGCTGCCAAGACTGTAAATCTCTTTGGAAGCAGACGGGCTCATTTTTCTGATGGAGAGTGGTTGGTGCGTTCGAACCACTGACCTTTTGTTTATTAGCTCAACACTTAACTCACTTGAGACTCTTATTAATCCATTTTCCTGATTGTCAAACAGTTAAAGGACAGTGGATATTTGAAAGCTGAAATTCTTGAGGAAATAGTTCCATGCTCAGTTCAACTTTGATTGCTAACCACAAGGTTGGCCATTCAAATCTATCAGGAGAAAGATGAGGCTTTCTGCTCCTATAAAGATTTATAGCCTGGAAAACCCATGGGGTGGGTTGTACTTAGTCTTGTAGGGTGGAAGTGAGTAGGAACTGACTCAGTGGCAGTGAGTGTTTTTTTGTTTGCTGTTTTGGCACATGTAAAATATCAGTGTAACAGATTATTGAATGGGTCTGCTATTTTTCTACACCTTGTGTACCATTCCAATTATATTCAAATTTCATTCCTTTGTCAGAGTTAAACTTTTCATCTGCCGCCTTTCCTTCTTTGTGGGCAAGGGAAACAAACTAGACCCTTTCAGAGTTGTGCTCTCAGCGTCGTTCATTTTGAAGTCAGCCGTGCCATCATGGGCCAATATGCTTTTTAGTTTAAGAGAAATTACAATGGAAATAATTAGGATTAACTGAACTCTTTACAGTTCAGTTTTGACCCATCTTTTTCCTAATTAATATGAGTTGTAACAATTTGTTACTGGTGCTAGGCCAACGTTCAGCATAGTTCTTCTTGTTCACACTTAGGATACTTATGATGGTGGGCTTTGGGTCAGTCGCCTCAATGCCACTCTAAATGGAAACCTCAGTATCTTGGTATCTGAATTTATAAGTGGAATCAACTAAATTATATTTTGTAAATTTCCTGAAGAAAGATATTCAGATGATTTATCTAATGCATCAATAACACATGATCCAGAGAGTTCTTTGAATTTGTAAAACTGGTGATCTAAAAAATTAGAATTCTGAGGAAAGATTTAACTCAATAAAATTCCACAGGGCTTTGATGATAATATAGTTGGTAAAAAAAAAACAAAACAACTGAAGAGTGTGAATTTTTTAAAAAAAGCCTTTATATGTTATGATCAATTCAGTGTTCTTTGATAGTCACACCACCCCTTGTAACCGCCCCCCTTTTCTTTTTACCCCTTAGGGACTTGAATTACAATAACTTAGGGGAATTTCCTCAGGCTATTAAAGCCCTGCCTAGCTTAAAAGAACTGTGAGTATTACTTTTTTTTTTTTAATGCCTTAATATTCCTTGTAATTCATCATCAGTTGTGCCTACCATTATATTTTATAACATCTCTCTCTGTATGTGTATTTATATAAAACCATAAAAAGTGCATTGTGTTGAATGACATGGACAATTTTGAGAACACTGTATAAGGCTAGATACTGGTCTCAGAAAATGGTGTGATGTCTGGTCTCTGCCTTTAAGTCGTAGTCCTACTGAGAGCCCAACTGTATATGACATAATTTGGAGAGAGAAAAATAAAAAGTGCTGAATTAGTGGGAATAAGAAATCATTCCAGCAAATGAGCTCATTAAGGCTTGAGGTCGTTGGAAAAAGGGTCACTAAAAGGAGGCATTTGAGCACAAAAGAATGGAAAAGTCTGAATAAGTGAAAGGAATAAGGGAGAATTTTGGAAATTAGGGCTTATCAGAGAAGTAAGAAAGTATACGGCCTAACAGATCATAGATGGCGAGGTAGCAGTTAATATGCAAAGGCACATTGCTTAACGACTAACTGCAGCCACAGTGAGAGATTTTTAAAGAAAACACAGCACATCCTCTGCAGCCTAAAGTTCTTAGATGATGACGTAATAGATAAACGTCTGTGAAGGCTCTGATAGTGGCTTTAAAAAAGAACTAGATGTGGTCCTGAAAAAGATGAGTTGTATGTTAAAATATACAGGTTCTCCACATTTGAAGATTTTTTTTCTCTTCTATAGTAACTCTCAGTGAAGTTGTGCTCAATACTTAACAGCAGTATATACTTGTGTGTTAAATAACTTCACAAGGAGATATGCATTTCAAAATATTTTTCCGTATCTTTCTAGGGGATTTCATAGTAATTCTATTTCTGTTATCCCCGATGGAGCATTTGGTGGTAATCCACTCTTAAGAACTATGTAAGTATTTTTGAAGGTTTCTTTTAATGCACAATCATCTAAAGCTATGTCTGTACAGAGCCAAACATCTGGATGGAGAATGAAAATTCAGGCTTTTAGATATATGACCTTTGTGAACATAGACTTAATATTGGATTTCTTATGAGCATATGAAAAATGTTTGCTTTTAAAATGTTTTTACAGACATTTGTATGATAATCCTCTGTCTTTCGTGGGGAACTCAGCATTTTACAATTTATCCGATCTGCATTCCATGTAAGTATTATGGAAATTTAGACACAAACCTGAATGATTAAATAATAATTTTCATAGGAAAACAAGGCTTTATAGCTGTAGCTTCAGAAAAGAAAAGGTTTTCTTTGTGTTAAATCCAAAGGATGGCTCTGAAATTTATAACACTAGTTTATGTGAACACTTGGCCCAATTATTCAAACTGGGACATTCAAGAGATAAAACTAATTTTATTTTTGCACAGTGGGGTTCTAATTTTAAACTATATAGGAGGTGAAAATATTACCTTCTATGGAAACATTATTTTAAATTTAAATTTTCTCTCCCAATTTCTTAAAGAGTCATTCGGGGTGCGAGCATGGTACAGTGGTTCCCAAATCTCACTGGGACGGTTCATCTGGAGAGCCTGTAAGTGTGCCCTTTGAAGAAGGTTGGGTAAAGATGACACTTCCAGCCCAGAGTGTGTCAGTGCTTTTTGGGGTGATAACATGGGTCTATGCTTATTCTTCCAGTATCCCTCACATGATCGTCTTTGTGAGCCTCAGGGGTGGAGATGTAGCTAGAGAACTTGCAGTTAGTCACCTCAGATGCAGGAGAGCCTCGCATATGCAGGCGACACCTGGACAGGCAGTAACTTCAGTGCCAAAAGAGCAGGGAGTGCTTTAGGGAATCAGAAGTGGGAGTGATCCCTGGAGAGTCTCAGAGGAGGTTTCAGGGAGGAAGTGGAATGTTTGGAAACGGAATATTATCAGATTTCCCAGAACTGAGTAGTTTTTAACGAATGAATGGCAGGATTGAGGAAAAGGTGAATACCAAAAGGACACTCCCGAATGGCATGCAGATGATGGACTATAGATAGAATTGTTTGTTTATACTGAGACGTGGTACATGATTTATAGCAACTGGGAAGCTTTGTGTTTGAGATTAGATTTTAAATGGCAAACTTGACCATTTGGTTATGACAGACTTCCTCAGTGGGTTGCTTGTGAATGGATTCCATGCACGTCCAAAAGTTTGATGGCTCTCTCCACCCTACATAAAGTGAGGTGGACCTGAGGCGGCTAGGGTGTCCAGCCATGGGATGCTGCATGTATATTATAATTTCCACGCGTCAAGTTATAAGAAAACAGATGCTGGGTAGCACTGAACTACAGAATTTAACCTTGGCTTTTCAGGCAGTTTGGACATGAAAGGAATGTTTGAACAGGTGGCGAGAGGAAGGAAAGAAAAGAGAGACTGAAAATGGCTTGACTGTTAAGAAAGCCATGGGAATAGTTCACTTGGCCAAATGAACACATGTAACCACTCGATGCCTTCAATTTACCCTTGGAGTTGCTCTAGAACTCACAGCATGCTCTGTCTGGAATTTCTCTATGCCCCTTTCCACCACTCATCTGCATAGCAGCCATAAAAGTGGACAGCAAGGGCCAGATACCAGAGCTACTAGAAAGAACAGGAATTGGGATTGGCCACAGATAGGAGCACAGGAAGAAAGAGACTAAGAGAAAACATTTAAATGTGTTGGGTCAATTGACAGGAGAGCATGGGGATTGAAATAACAGTTTGGGGGTGGTATCAAATGCTCGAATGTGAGGAGATGACAAGACTCCCAGGTGATTATGGTACAGGAGGTGACTGGAAATCTGTTGGTCCCTGTGAGAAATCCTGCCTTTATTTGGGCAATAAAGAGACCTTGCTTCACATGGTTTTCTACATTACTGTGAAGACAATGTCCATATATGGGGTTACATCACCTTCCCACATAGGGAGAAATGAGAGAGTTGAGTGCATAAACTCTGCTTCATGTGAAAATGTATTTATTTGCATTTAGGTTTCGAAATCAAAGTAGCATTTTGTTCACCTTCTTGACCTGAATGCTTGCTCAGAGGACCCATGTTTCTCCACAGGACCCTGACTGGCACTAAAATAAGCAGCATACCCAGGGACCTGTGCCAAGAACAAGTGATGCTCAGGACTCTGTATGTTGGATTCCTCTCTGCTCTTCAGACTTTTCTTTTGTGCATTTCACACATGTTGAGTTTCATTTTTTATTAACTATTTTCTTAGTGATTTTCCCTTAAAATTATTTGTTCCCTTCATGAAAATAAATAGGAGTCTTAGTAGTCCACAGGGTACAAAATTAGAGGTTGAATTAGATTTTAGGGTTATGTATAAACCACATATCTTGTGACATACTTGGAACAATGTAAAAAATAAACTAGGCTCACTCTTGGTTTTTTTATTTTTATTTTTTAGTCCGATACATTGTCTTTATTCTAGTTCTTCCAGGGCCTTAGCAACCCAGAATCTGCTTGCTCACCCTTAGAATAAGCAGGGCCCAAATCTTTCTTCACCAGTAATCAACTAATTGTGTAGCTTTGGAAAAAAATTTAAGCTGAACTAGAAATTTTATATATACACACACGTGTGTACTGCATATACATAAATTATTCCCACACATACATTTATGTGTGTATATGTATGTATGTGTGTATAAATAAATGGTATAAAATGTCACAAGAACAGAGAAGTTACTAAGTTATTAGTAAGTTTTCAGTGGAGGGAGATGGCAACAAAATTAATGACTGATTAAGTAATTAAGTCATGTAGATTATTAAACTTGAACATGCTGATTTCCCATGGGAAAAACTGCATTGGGGTTAGTTGAGAGTTAATTTTAAATATTTCATAGAAATACTTTAAAAGAATATGGTTATCTATACCTGCTCTTATAGCTTTTTGTGAACATCACAGAAGTCACCGTGTGTTTATGCAAATAACACATAGTGGAATATCTTTTTGCATATCCTGCAAACTCCTACAAGATTGACCAGCCCGAATTTAGGCTGTAGCAGCCCTGCGCCCAGCCCTTGCCCACCTCTGATGTGACTTAGCTGAGTGCAGATCAGCTATGAGGAACTTCCCTGCTCTCTGTGTGGGCCACAAACTACCCCCAAGCAAACAGTTTTAGTTTATTTTATTATTACTGGATTCTGCCAAGCTTAATCCATGAATTGACCATGGATTATATTTTCTTTATACAAATATGATAAACAATTATGCCCCTGGACTATTAATGAATATGAATGAAGTAGAAATTCAATTCTGGAAATGTCATAAGGTATGTAAATGGGTGTGTTATGCTAGAATTTTTAATATAATTTTAGCATTTTTGCCTGCTATTTTTGCCTCCACCCCATACACTGAAAAATGTATTTTAAATGCAAACATTATTGTATACATTTAAAAAATATTCTACCACTTAACAACATGATTTTTATATATTTAATATCTTTATATTATACACTTTAAGACAACGAGGCTTCAAAACATTTATCAAAACATTGGATTAATAGACAATGGAATTTTTCTTGAACTTTATGAACCCCTCATATGTTTTAATATATTTTTAGATTATCTGTATTCCATATTATGCCCTGGAAATTAATAAATAGTAAGCCCATTGTACCACTGAGGCACTCTCGAGAAATGTCTTGGAAAGAATGCAGTTGCTCCTCTTGTTCAGTTGTATCTATCACTGCTCTGAACATGGCTTTCAATGCTTCTAAGAATAATTCTTTTAATATAGTGTTATGACAGCTCAAAATTAATTTGCTAATTTCCCATTGTTTTCAGGGACTTGTCTTACAACAATATAAAAGACCTTCCAAATTTTAATGGATGCCATGCTTTGGAAGAAATGTAAGTTGGTCTTTGCCTTACTCTTTTTGACTGATGTCTTATGAAGCATTTCCTTTTTTAAATAAACAGCTTTATTATTAAGAAATTAGAATTAGCCCCCCAAAATGATTTAAATAAAAAGAAATTAGTATTAACATAACCAGCTGCTTCTATGAATAAAACATCATATTGTACTGGTTGTGTTCATGCAACCATAATTTATTGGGCACTTAACATAGCAGAAATTCTATGAAATTGTCTGGTGGTGAGGTTGGTATATGTGTTGTTAATCTCTGAGTCAGCATCAACTCTATGGCAATGAATGAATGAATGAATGTATCTCTTTTAGAAGAATTAATACCTGACTAGTCCAAAAGGGTTAGGGATTGATGATACCCCAAATGTCCATCTCTTCCATGATGCTATTCAGCTCCATTTTTAAGCCCCCTCTCCTCCCTTGAGTATATTCCCTCATGTTTCTGGGTTTTGTGAATCGCTGCAGTGTCCCACGGCAACTCACGAAAGTCTTGAGAAAATGTCTCACATGGTGGTGGTACTGTTCAGCCCCAAATCTGAAGGTCAGGCAGGGGTAAGCCAGGTGCTAGACCCAGAAGACTTGCGCTACTCCTGAGTCTTGCCAGAGATGAGAGCATACCTTGTGCTACTCAGAGGGCTCATTTCTACACAGCAGGATGGCATTGCAGGGAATCCTGTTCACAATTACTCACTGGTGAATCCTCTCAGTATCCTCCCCCATCTTCTTACCAGACCCATGCAGGCAAAGGTCATTTGGTGGGAGTTACATTTCCTGCTTTTGATCAGGATCCTTGTATGGAATTTTTGATCAAAATATTCGGTAATGGTAGCTGGGCACCATCGATTCTGATCTCTTGTGAAGGAGGAGACTGTCCATGGAGGCAATGTACATTTCATATCCTCCTCCTGTTCCTGACTCTCCTTTCTTTGTTGCTCCAGTTGAATAGAGACTGATTGTTGTGTCCTCTTTGGCTGGCTGCAAGTTTTTAGGACCCCAGGGACTCTGCCAGGTGCTGGATAACAGCACAGAAACTTTAACTACATTCCTAAGCCAGTTCAGTGGGATGTTCCATGAACTGGCCCTGAACCTCCAAGTGAAGGAACCCAATCCCATGAGTGTTTGGCCGGGCAGTCTTGGCAGCCACCCGGGCAGCTCCACCCCGTCCTATGGGGCTGCTGTGAGGTGGTCTCCCTGGCAGTGAGTGCAGCTGCCTCCCTGGGGACTCATTCCGTGCTGGTGTGATAACTATACCTATCGCAGCTTTCGCCACTTCAGCTTTTTGCAGGTACACAGCGCACTGAGAGAGAGAACAATAGTCAGCTGTGCAACTTGTCCTGAAGCAATGTGATTTTTCTATCCCCCCCTAGCCCCCTTTATTCCTCACTTTAAACAAAATCAATTACTGCTATAGATGAATGGGTATTTAAATTTAGAAAAAAACATCTAAGAAACATTATTTGTAAAGTAGAAAATAACTTTTTTTCTTCTCTCTTTCTTTCGGTTAGTTCTTTGCAACATAATCAGATCCACCAAATAAAGGAAGGCACTTTTGAAGGCCTCATTTCCCTAAGGATTCTGTAAGTTTGTCTATGTTTATAAAAGACATAAAATTGTTGTCATGTTATAAATTAATAAAGTACCATTATGGTTACCATGTTAACAAATGTACTTAAAGGTTTATTTCACATAAATATTGTTTAAACTTTATCACATGGTACTTTATAAGAAATCTGCTTTTGGAGAACTGGAGGGCAAAGGACACTTGTAGAAGTCTAAACACAGGCATATGCCTAGGTAAATATATTTACATATAACGATAGGGAAATAGATCTATGTACATATATTTGTATGTTAAGTAGTAAGGTAGCATATGGATATTGGGCCTTTACTTAAGTACTCCCTCAATGCAAGAACACTTTGTTCTAATAACCTGGCATTCTGTGATGGTGCCTGGCTATCAAAAGATATAGCGTCTGGGGTCTTAATGGCTTGAAGACAAACAAGCAGCCATTTAGCTGAGAAGCAACAAAGCCCACATGGAAGAAGCACACCAGCCTGTGTGATCAAGAGATGTCAATGTGATCAGTATCAAGCATCAAAGACCCAAATCAAAAAATAAAATCAATGTGAATGAGAGGGAGTGCAGAGTGGAGACCCAAACCCCATCTGTAGACAATTGGATATCCCCTTACAGAAGGGTCACAAGGAAGAGATGAGCCAGTCAGAGTACAGTATAGCACTGACGAAACATACAAGTTTCCTCCAGTTTTTTAATACTTCCCCTCCGCCCCCACTATCATGACCCTAATTCAGCCATTCTCAACCTCCCTAATGCCGCAACCCTTTAATGCAGTTCCTCATGTTGTGGTGACTCCCCCTCCCAACCATACAATTATTTTCTTTGCTACTTCATAACTATAATTTGGCTACTGTTATGGATCAGGCGACCCCGGTGAAAGGGTTGTTTGACCCCCCCCAAAGGGGTCACAACCCACAGGTTGAGAACCGCTGCCCTAATTCTACCTTACAAATCTGGCTAGACCAGAGAATGTACACTGGTCCAGATAAAAGCTTGCAACACGGAATCCAAGACAGATAAAACCCTCAGGGCCAATAATGAAAGTAGCAATACCAGGAGGGTAAGGGAAAGGTGGGGGTAGCAAGGGGGAACTGATCACAATGTTCTACATATAACCCCATCCTAGGGGGACAGAAAACAGAAAAATGGGTAAAAGGAGACATGGGTCATTGTAAGACATGGAAATATATATAAAAATTATCAAGGGTTCATGATGAAGGGAGAGTGGGAGGGGAAAAATGAGCTGATGTAGAAAGAAAATGGTTTAAAAATGATGATGGCAACTTATGTACAAATGTGCTTGACACAATGGATGTATGTATGGATTGTGATAAGATTTAAAAGAAAACAGAAATCTGCTTTTGGAATGTTTATATTAGTGAATTGTTTATGTCATTATGTCATACCTTGGTGATTAAAAAGTGTGTGAGATACAGGTTTGTCTTCAAGTTATAATAGTGTGGTTTACCAATCCACTAATACTACAGGTCAAAACTACAGCTAGGAGTAAAAACAACCTGTGGCTTTGTTCTGTAACTTAAGTTTTATTGAAATGTCATCATGTTGTTTTGTTTAAATTATCTAAAACTGCTGTCACCATATTGTGACTGAGTTGAGTAGCTGCATCAAAACCTTATGACCCACAAAGCTAAAAACATTTACTTTCTGGTCCTATATAAAGTTGGTAACCCTGGTACCAAGGTATCTGCCATTACAAATTATAACTAGAGTGCAACAGAAATACTCATTTAAAGAAAAGTAATTTTGAGTACATTTGTACCAGGCACTCTGCTAAATTCTTGGAAATACAGAGGTGACTAAGAAAAACCTAGCTGACATTTGGGGTTAGGTGCTGACCTGCTAGTAACAAGTCCGGTGGTCCAAACACAGCTGCTGCTCAGAAGGAGAAAGATGAGGCTGTCTGTCCCTTTAGCAATTTACAGTGTAGGAAACCTGATATAGGGTCACTGAGTTGGAATCGACTCTGGCCATGGGTTGGCTTGGTAAATGTAGACGTAAAGAATCTCTAATGGTGTAGGAGTTAAGTGCTCAGCTGCTAACCAAAAAGGCTGGTTCAAACCCACCAGCCGCTCTGTGGGAAACAGATGGGGCAGTCTGCTTCTGTAAAGATTGCAGCCTTGCAAACCTGCAGGGCAGTTCGCTGTCCTAGTGACTCTTCCCTGTGCCATTGTCCTGTTCAGAATTGGCTGGGAGGCAACAGGGATGGAAAACTGCCTTCACAGAACTTGAGTGCAGAAAATGCAGATACAGTAAAACCAGTGACCTTTACATGTATAAAAACCTGCTTGCCAGTAGATCCCACTTAAGAAATAAAACATGCATTCAGTTAGGAAATATTTTATTGAGAGTTGTCTTACAAGATTTTTCCTTTTTGCGGACAGGCTTACTGTGGGTCTTGGGGGAAGTGTAGGAAGGGGCCTGGCTCCTAACTGCCATCACTTCTAGTGCACTGATAAGTGACAACAATAAAAAGCTGTCCTTTTCATGATTTGGAATGAAATCTGTCAAGGTTTCCTGGTATCCAGGAGATGTGTCAGAGAATTAATTTATCTAATCTTTAAATTTCCATTAAGTCCCAATTTAAATGTAGTTGAGATTATTTCTCTGTTTTATTAATCCTGTAATATCTGAATTATTCAATGGGTGTTTCCCAATAGAGAATGTGCCTCTGCTGCTGATAGGATTTTTACTTCCTGCTTGGGCAAAGAATGATATCTGAAGCGCTCTGGAATGCTCTTGTTTGCATATTGATTATTTGTCTTCCCTTGGGGCCTTATCATTAACCTTTGAGAAGGCAAATAGTAGTTCTCTTTTCATTTTCAGCTTTGTCATGAGCTTTTTCTCACCTACTTAATAGTACCAAAAGTTATATCTTTTTTTATTTTTGAACTGTTACCAGAATGATAAAGTAGAGAAAACTCATGACCGTTTTTATGCAGATGCTGTAGAAAGGAACCCTGGTGCTTCAGGGATTAAGCACTCAGCTGTTAACCCAAAAATAATTGGTTCAAACCCACCAGCTGCTGCACAAGAGAAAGGTGGTCGTCAGCTTCCATACAATGTCATGGTCTAGACAACCCCATCGGGCAGTTTGACTGTGTACTGCCCGTCAGGTCACTATGAATTGGAATCGACTGGATGGCAGTAACTTTGGGGTTTAAGTAGAATTACTGTTAAACAGAACACATACCGAAGAAGTAGATTGTTGTCAAGGAGGTGTTCAAAATCATCCTAAAGAAATTTCTTAGACAAGATTAAAAATCTTTGTGATCTTAGCAGATTGCTTGATGAGCTCAGATTCAAAAGTGTAGCTGAAGTAACTGCCACTGTGAATGTTTATTTGAAATGATTAATATATTGTTTTAATATTTCAGAGATCTGAGTAGAAACCTGATCCAAGAAATTCACAGCCATGCTTTTGCTAAACTTGGGTCAATAACTAACCTGTAAGTAGATGATTTTGTGCAGTAATAACATGAATGTAGTAAAGAGTGCTCTAGGAACTTGTGGTTTAACACTGTCCTGTCAAAATATTTCTCTGTATAGTTGTTCTTTTGTATAAATGCCACGCTACACTGATGTAGTAACAGCTTCTATAATGGCAAAATGAACGCCACAGCTATCATATTAGCACAACTGAATTCACCTTCTATCTCTTTTTGATTGGATACATGTATAGATGAGTTGAAGTTAGGAATTAACATGAAGTTTGATCTACATTTTAGAGATGTAAGTTTCAATGAATTAACTTCATTTCCTACGGAGGGCCTGAATGGGCTAAATCAACTGAAGCTTGCTGGCAACTTTAAGCTGAAAGAAGCTTTAGCAGCTAAAGACTTTGTGAATCTCAGGTGTGTGTTCATTTTTCTTTTTTGTTGAAGTCATAGTAAGCTCCTAGATTGTTGCGTGTCTAGGTTTTTTATGTGGTTCATGCATGTGCTGAGAGAATATAATTTCAGAGTATTTTCCACTTCAGGTCTTACAAATTTGGTCAAAAATAGAATCTGAGAATAGGAACCGGAGCTATTGGTACTAGATGATTCAGCTATTCACCAAAGGTTTTTTGTTTTTTTTTCTTTCATGCCATGGACTTTCAAAAGTGGAAAACCACATACTCATGTATAAGCCGAGTTTTCAGCACCTTTTTAATGCAGTTTTTGTGGTAAAATTAGGTACCTCAGCTGATACTTGGGTTGGCTTATACTATATACGTAAGTGGGAGCCTACAAAAAATTGATAGAAGCAAAGATAGAATTAAGTGGAGCCTTATTAAGATATAGTGGAGAGAGAATTTGGAAATATTGTTGAAGAAAAGAACAGATGAGTAAATTTACTTAATGGTAAAATGTCATAGAATGACTTGGGGGAATTAATTTTAAAGAAAATTACCAGTTTCAAGTAGTAATTCAATATGGTTGTCATTTATAAAAGGACTCTGATAGGATTTTACTGTAAATTTCAGTATTGCTATTAGATTGTAAATATGGTTTGATTTACTTTCAACTTTAAGAGCATCTTTTAAACAAAGGGAGAAACTAATAGTGTCTCCTGATAGCAGAGTACTTTTTACAGATGAGGAAAGTTAGGCTCAAAGAGAATAAATGACCAGCCTGAAGCACAAGGTAATCTGTCGTGTTTCTGGCTGGAACTTTCAAAGATTAAAATGTGTTTTAAAAACAACAATATATTTTTGAAGATGCATTTGAATGTTGATTTTTACAACTTTTCCCCCCAGGTCTTTATCTGTACCATATGCTTATCAGTGCTGTGCATTTTGGGGCTGTGACTCTTACAGAAATACAAACACAGAAGATAGTAGCCTGCAAGACCACAGCGTGGCCAAGGATAAAGGCAAGTGCATGTCCCCTTTAAAACCGAGTGCCCTTTCACTCACCAAGGCTTCTGCTTGTTGTGATCCTTTTTTGTGTTGTCATTGTGTAATATAACATCTGAAAGATGATAGAATTCACTGTGCTACTGACATCTTTATAGCCTCAAGGAGCCCTGTCCACTCAAATTACACCACACATATAAGTGGAAATTATAGGAAAAGATGTGTCCTGTGTCCTAATATTTTAATAAAGCATTCTTTATATGTACAGGTACTGCTGATGCAGCGGGTGTCACAAGCAGTACTGACAATGAAGAACACAGTCAAATCATTATCCACTGTACACCCTCAACAGGTATGCCCAACACATTTTGCTGCTTTTTCTCACTTTATAAATTAACAGTAGGAGAAGCCATCTAAAAGGTTTGGAAATTAGATGTGATTTCTGCGATAGGTTTTGGGATAACGAGATGATCCCTTGAAGCTCTTTGATGCTGTATCATCCATGCATGAATAGGCATAGTAGGATAGGCATCTGTGGTATAATCGCAGGCCCAGACCCATCACATGAGATTCTGTTAACAAGGGTTGCAGCACATTAAAGTTTGAGAAGCACTGGTTTATTCTTCTTTAAGTCTATAACTATTCTATTAGTTACTGGTTGATAAGAATTTTTAGTTTTAACTGCCCTGCCTCACTCACTTTTAAATGTAAGCTTTTCTTCTCTTACTTCATTGATCAAGAGTAGATTTGGGAAAGCTATTAAGCTGAAATCACACGGTTGGGTTATAATGTCATATTCTTCCTAATTTACCAGAGAAAGTAGATTTAAAATTTTACTCTAGAAGTAAAATATTTTGGCTAAAGTGTATGCTATAAAGTAGATTCCCTTGTTACTATAATGTCCCAGGATGATCTGGAAATTCATTTCATGACAGAGTTATTATTGTGGATTCATTAATGATTATTGCAGAATTGTGAGCTCCTTGCAGTATCTAGTTTATAAATTCGAGGGGGTACCCCCCCAAAAGACCGATGCTCACTTTTTTTTATGTGAGAGGGATACTGCATATGGAGTTCATTCCACCTAATTAGACTGTTAATAAAACTTTCGTTAGTGGTTCTGAAAAGATTGCATAATAGTTTGCGACAAAAAAAGGCCTGAATTGTGGCAGATGGGATTGATTTTGCCACCCCGACAGTGCACCTGCTCATGAAGTCATCTCACTGGTTTTTGGCAAAAAATAGCATGCCTCTCTTGCCTCATGCCCGACTCATGTATCCACACATGCACACACATATATACATATATTAGCATAATTCCTTGTTGAGAATATAAGCTTAAAGTTATTGGATTGCCAAAAATCATTTATATGAGGGGATAACCTAAAAAAACCCCAAAAAACCAGGATTTTTTCCCCCCAAACCTATGTGTTTAAACTTATTTTACAAAACAACCTTATCACCTTCAAAGCCCTCCCCATAACAATACATTTATCAAATGTGCGATTTCATTTTGGGAAACATTTTTCAAACTTGTCTTTGGATGGCTGATAGCATCTCCCACATTTTTTCTTTACCTCTGCTACATCCTCAAATTGCTGTCCTTTCATGGCCCTCATCATTTGTGGAAGCAAAAAGAAGTGGCCTGGAGCGAGGTCAGGTGGGTCAGGTGTGTAGGGCAAGAGGCATGCTGTTTTTTGCCAAAAACTGGCACATTGAGATGGCTACATGAGTATATGAATTGTTGTGGTGGCAAAATCAGTCCCCCATCTGCCACACATCTCGCCTTTTTTGTCACATACCGCTACACAATCTTTTCATTACCTCTAAATAGAAAGCCTGCTTAACAGTCTGACCTGGTGGAACAAACTCCAATCCACTAGAGTCATTTGGGAAGCTGATGGACATCCAGAATGAGGTTTCTCATCAATCTACATTTCACGTTTGAAATGTAGAAAACCACTCATACACTTGCGTTTTTCCCATAGTGCTGTCCTTGTAAGCAGTGTTCAACATCACAACAGTTTCTGCAGCATTTTTCTGAGCAGGAAACAAAATTTCACAGCCGCATAGTTTTCTTAAATTGGCCATCACAAAAAACCAGGTTCTAGCAAGACGGCTTTCATGAAAAAATTCACTGTGACCAGGGAAAACCAGGTGACACCACTGAGTGCACTAACTCACAGCTAGTTACTCGATGCTCGACTAGCAGGAAATTCGGTTTTTTGGGAGGGTACCCCCTAGTATAATTGATCTTGTGTTAGTCTCAGATCGATTTTTAGAAGTTACGTGATATTGATGACTCACAAGCCCCTCGAAAATAATGCATAAAAAACTGATAACCAAATGAGAAGATAATGGTTTTACTAAAGGTTAAGCTAGACCTGAACATGTAGTGGTTCCAGTTTTTCCACACTGACTCTGAACTTTGGTGTTGACCCAGGAGGAGAGCCGGTGTGAATCTCTCTTTTTTCTGAAGTTGTAACAGGAATGAGTTGCAGACTTGCCTCCCCTCCTAAGTTGCAGCCGCATGGTGTCCCTGCCCACAAGGACCCTGTGGGTCTACCCAGAGCCACCGTGCAGAAACAGGAAGCATATGACTTTCTATTAAGACTAGGGGAGAAGAAGGGCAGGCTTCCAATGGCAGAGGCAGGGTGGATTTTGAAATAAAGTAACTCCACCAACTAGGGGAGGACTTCCCAAAGGGCCCCGTGTGCTCTCCTAGGTCAGATGAGCTATTCTCCCTTTCTTCAAGGGATGAGTTCAGATGCAGAAATCAGGAAAATTTCTCTTAGAACTTCTCTGAGGGAGGATTTTGAAAAATATAAGAATTAAGACAAAGCTTCTTATTAAACACAAACGAACAAATGAAATATCTTTAATAAGCAAATTCATAGAGGCAGAAAGTAGATTAGTGATTGACAAGGGCAATTTGCTTAATGGTTGGGGAAACTGCTTAATTTTCCTTCTGTTTTGAAGGAAAAGTAGGAAACTTTTGGAGATAGTGGCAATGTTTGTACAATAGAATGAATATAACTAATGCTACTGGACTTTATACTTCAAAATGGTTAAAATGGAAATGTTTTCTATGTATTCTACTGCTATAAAGTAAAGAGCGGAGCTTTATCTGGAAGGCAGATATAAATGGCATAGAGCTGGCCCTGTTAGGGCTCTGGAGAGCTGAAGGTTTGACATGCTTTATCTCATATAACAAACTCCATGGCAGTTCTGAAGAACACTTAACTGGAACAGGACTTTTAGATGATTGTAAAACATGGTTTTCTTGTGCTTTGTAGTCAAAATTTTGTTTTTCTTGAAAAATAAAACACTTCTGGATGAACAATCTGGAGGAGAAAACAACGGGACTGACAGTTCTGGGGGGACATGGGAGAGGGGGAGGAGGGGGGAAGGGAAGAAGAGGGGATAACAAGC